TTTTTTTTTGTCGACGCAGCGTTGCTCGCGAATATTCTGCGGGATGTACAGTAACTGATAAAACTTTCATTAGTTTGAAACCTAAAAGATATGCAATATAAGGCAAACCCAAAGCCCATAGAATAGCTACGCCTTGTTGCTGTTCTCTGAATAAAGTACTGAGCCTAAATTATGTTTACTAATTGTAAGCTGTGTTACTGTTTCTTTAGAGGCAATTGACTAGTTTGCTTAATACTAGTATTAGTTACTGCGTACAAAACGCCGTTTCCATTCACGATGTTCCACTAGGGGGAGCATATGTAACATTTTGAAGATGCTTTCCTTAATAGAATAATATTGCGACATTTTGCGATAACTTTAACATTAGACATTATTATCAAATGTTTTATTTTGATAGTAATTGGAAGAAGGAATTGAGCATTTATGAATATTAAAATATGCCCTTTTCATTTCAGATTCAAACACCTGCAGGATTTTCCAGCATAACAGAATATTGGTTATTCACAAATTTCCATGTTAAATATCAGAAACAAATGAATGTTTCTTTATGTCAAATTTATTTGATAATTGTATTTAGAGACATAATATTCTTGTTTTGTTAATGAATTAAAATCATAATTTGCATGAATGTATTGCCTTACCAAAAGATCCAAAAGCACTTTGTATAGAGTAGGGGAACCTACGTGTGCAACCATCTTGGACCAGCAGTCCCAAGTACACAACAATCTCTCCTTCTTAAAAGAAGTTCTGTTCTTGGAGAAAAAATTGTAAGTGATTTCTAATCAACTGACAATCAAGGATGGTTAGATTGATGGTTTACTACTGCAGTAATCAACGAGAATCCTAAATTCTATGTTGGAATACAGTTAAATTCCAGTCTAGAGTGGATTTCTCAAACTAAAAACAAAATTAACAGGTTTAGATGGATGTAAAAACAAGTGAAATGTTTAGTAGATCTTAAATCATGTTAATTTATCAATCTAGACTGAACTGAAAACAATTTCAAATCTAAAATAAATATGGTAAAAACGAAACTCATTGCATACAAAGATACAATAGACATGTTTTCATTGAGATCACAAAAAGGTCATATTTCCTCATATAAGAAAAGTTCCAACAGGAAAGTTACAGTGTATTCAGTTGAAAAGTAATTCTTTGCTTTCTTTACAGTGCTGGGCATTACAAAGCCCTTTAAGAAAACACTAACAGATAATAAAGAATTGCAATTATTTTTAAGGAGGACAGTCGAGTAGTTGAAGAGATGTTTTTAGTTCGATTGGATTAACTCAGCATTAGTGATACATTTAAAGTAAGAACAATCTAACCATTTTTGTGCTTTAGTTTTATATCTTTTTATGCTCCCTTTCATCCCATGAAATTTAATTGAATTGTGACCGCTGTACAAAGTAAATTCTTTCACTTGAATTGAATGAACAGAAAGCCCCTGAGGCACGGGTGACATCCGAAGGAAAACCAAGTTCATAATATTCAATTTGATAAAGGGGTTGGAGTCTACCAGCTTGAAGGTTTACAGGCTAGTGGTGTTTGAATTATTCATGTTGAAGCTTCTTTCTGGAAAGGTCAATACTTCTGAGGGCACAAAAAATCCCCTTTCATCATGTTTTACCTCCAAATGCCAACCTTTTTTTCTGATTTGGAAATTCTGTATTTTATTAAAATCTTCACTGAGTGAATGGAATTTTCATTGATTAAGCCCAAATTCTCTTTTGTGCTTTTATTATTTTTATTTTGTTGCTTTTGAGCCCTCACATACTGTACACTCCCACTATAAAACAGATACTCCTATGCCTTCGAGTGGCATCAGCTTTCTTGTTTTAAACATTTGGCTTTTTCATATATTTTGTTTCAATTAGCAGGTCTGTGAATTCAAGTGAGCCCCTGTATGGAAGCATATAACCTGTTTGTAGGATCTATGCTTTATCACTCATTATTAAAATAACCATTTTTGTAGCAGAAGGTGTTTATCATAAATAGGTTATTCCTGATTAGTCTTGTTCTGGGTTGGATTAGCACAGTTATGTAACATCTGTGACTTAAAACTCTTTATATTTGGTTTTAGTGTACTAGTGTGAAGATGAAAAGTGCACAGTCTTTGGATATTGGGACTCTTGTGCAGATAGCTGAAACACTGGAATCTATTGTCTCTCGTTGTTTTGGACCAAATGGAGGCCTGGTGCTTTTCACAAAAGCCACAGGAGAGGTGCTGTTAACGCGTGATGGAAAGAAGATTCTCCATTCTCTTCTTCTGGATCATCCTGTAGCTAGGTAATCATACAGATAACTTACTGAATCACTTCAAATTTGAAGCATTTTGAGTTCACCTAGATGTGTCTAAGCAATTAATCAGTTTGACTGGCAAAACTACATGCTCAAATCTTGTTGGACTAAAAGAAAAAGCTGACACGGATCAGTTAAGTGATGTGTTATGAGACAGACAAACGAATGGCTAGACAGCTCTATTTACCAAAATATCCATCCTGCTGACTTAAACATGGTTGAATTCACAATGTTTAGTGAAAGCATAACTTGTTTTTCACTTAAAAAGGATACTGTGTTTACTTTAGAGTTTATATAAAACTCTAAAGTAACTGTAAATGATCACAATGCTTGTGCAGCTGAGATTACCCCTTCCCCCATTCCCCGGACAGCTCTCATCTCAGAGCCAACTTCATGGCAGCTGCCAGATCTATGAAGATGCAGTGAATAGGGAGAGATGACTGCTGCTGAGTCTTTAATGTGATACTCCATAATTGCAAAGTTAAAATTAAAGCACATCGTTAACAATGAACTTGGTAAACCCACATAAGTTACCGACGACAGTGACTGTCACGTGCCATCTCTCTACAGAGGTAAGGGGTGCTTATTAAAAAGATATCTGGGTTTCTATGCATTTATGAGAAATGCTGGTAAGTGAACTAAACTGCTGCTACTACCCAACTTTTTAAAAACACGAATGTGTTTGAATGTTACAGTTGTGTTTCAATTAACCCTAAAGCCCTGCAATAGACTGTAGGAGTTAATTTTTAAATACTGCATGAAAACATCTCAAAACAAAATTCACATATAATATAGAACCTCTAATGGTTTTAGTTTTGGTTCCATATTTTAGGAAGTTCCAAATGTCACAGTCCATGTAAATATTTTACTTTAAAACTCTGATATTGGACCTTAAAAGCTTTCAGTGTAGAAATACATCACCTATATCTTTAAATCTAAATTCTGATGCGTTGTGAATGCTTTGTTATTTTTTAAGAGGGATTTGATGTTATGCTTTTTCACTTGGAAATATTGTGTTTCATCCATGTTTTAGCGGGAATCTGAGTAAAATATGTCGAAACTACATGGCCTTTTCTGGTTCAGAGGAATTTAAAAGAACTCTCTTTTTTTTGTTATTTCCCCTTTCAGAGTGCTGGTGGACTGTGTTTCTGTCCACTGCAGCATGACGGGTGACGGTGCCAAGTCGTTCATTCTGCTCCTGTCTGCGCTGCTTCGAGGGCTTCAGGCCTCAGTGGAGAAGGGCACAGGGCGACAAACAACCTGTCACAACTCTTCAGGCAGAGGAAAGCAAGCAAGTCAAGAAGTAAGACAGGTGGCCAACTGTCTTCTTACATTTCAGACCCAGGTACTGGATGGAATTATAAAGCAGCACCTCAGTCAGCACGTCACATCTTTGTTTTCTAATAATGGCCAGACCATGAGTAAAGATAAAATGAATTTGCTTATGGAGGCTTATTTTTGTGGAAAAACAGGCAATGGGGACTGCAGATTTTTGAGTCAGATGGCTTGTGATTACTTTTTCAAGTGTAACTGTGAACAGGAAAGGGACAGTGGACTAAATTTAATCTGCTCACAGTTTTTAGAGCTTCACACCGCAGTAACAGGCCTCCCTGTACACTGTTCAAGGATATTGGAAGGACTGGTCCTCCACAGAGATTTCACGGTGTATTGCCCAGCAGATGGCCATTTTAAAGCCTTGGTTGTGACTGAACCTGTTCAGCCTTCTTTCTCTGCCACTGGCACAACACTATACCTCAGATCAGAATCTCAGCTCCAGAGTTGTTATAGCTGGATCAGTAACAGAGTGGAAGAAGTGATAACGTCTTTACAACAAAACCAAGTAAAGCTCATACTATCTAGTGTAAAGCAATCTGACCTAGTCATTTACCATGCAAAACTAAGAGGTATATCGGTCTTGGAATGTGTAGAGGGGGAGGAGCTGTCTGTGTTTTGCCACTTTAATGGAGTTTTGCCGCTTGCAGCCTGTTGGGATATACCACACATTAGACAAGAACACCTAGCCGACGTGACGTTTTGCAAACCTGTTTTGCTTGGATCACGCAGGTATGCTCATGTCGGATTCCAGAATAAGACTGATTTTAACTCTCATTGTCTTGTTCTCTGCGGACCTGTTCTTGGTCTGACGGAACAGTATGTGTCTGCCTTCCAGGGTGCTTTCCGAATGCTTCAGCAAACCTGTGAGCCTGTTGGTTTATGGAACAGTCACCGCTTACACAGCAAGCATTCTGTAAGAAGCGCCCATAAAACAAGCTGTAGCTTGAAGTCTTCTCTCAAGTCAGGTAATGACACAGCTGCTGACAGAAGCAGTGACTGCCATGATGATCAGTGCCCTGCCATTGAAGAATTGCACTGCAGCAGTGCTTCAGTAGATGATGAAAAGAGAATGGAAGGAACAGTGAAAAGAGAGCCAAGGAAGCTTCAAAGCAAAAGATACGACTGCAGTGGTCCACTGAATGGAACCAACATCAGTGGTCATGGCTCAGATGAAAACTCTCAGGATAGCACTGAATCGGGATCATGTCCACAACAGTCTAGACCCACAAGTGATGCTTCTAACGAACTGACAGTACAGAGAAAATCAGTTCTTTTCAGCGATCCAGTGAATAATGTGCTAGAGAAGTGCTGCAGGATCACGGTTGGTAATTTTGAAGCTATGGGCCAAGTATTCAACCAAAAGCCTCCTGAGACTTTAATAGAAGCAGGCAGCATTTTGCCAGTAGGAGGCGTATTTGAGTTCCTTTTACACCATTACCTTAAACTGTACTCCAAGCAGGATGTTGAGTCCGACACCAAAACAGCTTGCAATATAATTGCAGACGCCGTGCTGAACATACCCAGAAGTGTTTATAAGGAAAAGGGCACAAACAGACAATTTTTAGAAGTGCACACAAAATTCGCACGTGATATAAAAATAAAAGGCCAAATATGTGGCTGGTTAGATTTTAATGAGTCGGTGTCCTGTAAATATCAGCTGTTGGTCTCAGTGCTGCAGTGTCTGCATACGCTGGTGTCCCTCGACTTTCTGGTTCACAGCTCCAGAAGGACTCGTACTGGAGTAGAATGTGAATCAGAAGACAGTGACTAAATGATAAAATGTTACTTGTTTTGCAACTTGAAGACCTTTGTACATTGTCTTTTTATGGATGTTAATTATTTTGAAAATGGCTTCAGTTTCAATTTATGAATACACTGTACTAAGCACTCATTAATGTAACATCACGATTTTCTGATTCTGTATATAAAAGTCAAGTCTACAAATAATTACCCTTTAAAGTTATGTGAAAGTTACATTCCTGTACATTTCAAGAAGTATTATTTTTACTATATTCAGTTATCCTGTAAATTTTGCCTGCTATTTATTGAACCACATATTTATTGTCTTATCTAAGTGATTGTTCTGTTTGAGATATTCACAAAGTTGTGTGATTTGTTGATGGCTAGTGTCCACTAACTTAAGTCATAGATGTTTCTAAAAACATTTGGATTTGACCTCTGAAAATCCAGAGGTCTTAGTTCTGTTTTTACTGTTATTAAAAACAATTTAACAATAATTTATTCAGAGACCTATATTCAACATAAACACGACGAATCTGAACTAGTGTATGATATTAAGCACCAAAAACTATATGGATTAATTTTGAAGCCATACTAAATCAAGGACCTATTTCATGGAGGATAGGCTCTTAAAAATGGTGTTCACCTTTTTAAAAATGTATAAGTTTAAAACTTAAGGTTGAGTACCACAACACAGAATAGTGGTGAGGGCATCAGACAAGAGGATCATGAGCTCACATCCCAGATACGACTCTGATGATGTTCCTTTGAACAGCGTACGTAATTCAAAATTGCTCTGGAAAAATGCCTAGCTGTGTAAGTACCCTCCAGGCCACCATTGTAAACAAGAAATTGTTTCTCAATTGACTTATCCGGTTAAATCAATGAATAAAGAGAGGTTTTCTTTTTTGCTTGGAATATACAAAATCTTTGTGTGTCATATGATGATGACGACAATCAGAAACAAAAGTGAGCTCTTGGCAGTACATACTATTTTTCTAAATGTGAAGCCACTGCCATATTTCTTCATATAAGTCCAAACTGTAGTGACTGTTGCCATCAAACCCACAGGACTCAATAAAGTCATTGTAAAGAAATGTTCCAGAAGCCTCTGGCCCTGAAATAAAGGCCAAAACAATCTGAGAAAGTCGACGATGCTTAAAATCCTCTTTTTTTCTAATGCTAAGAAGTCTTATATTCCAAGCATTTTAAATATGATCCAGTTTATAAAATTGTTTTAATATGGTGGAAAACTGTTCCATGTACTTTAGTAGCCCAAGAATGTTCAAAAGAGTGTATCTGTGACTTCTGTAAGCTCTTGCCGTGAAGATATTAGTGTGCACATTCTGAAGTTAGGAGAATTTTTTGTATTCCATGCTGAAAAGAGAAGAAAGGACATGCAACGTTTCGTCTGTGGAGCCTTCTTCGGTTGTAAGGATGTTGGTGCTTTCCTTTCTTCTCTTTTCAGCATGGAATAAACCTATTACTTGTTCCTTTGCAGCCTACGCATGCTGACGCAGCTACCCAGCTGAGTGTTCTGTATGACTGCTTTTGTCAAGTGGTGGTCACTTATAGTTGGAAATCATCAGTTTACCATACCCGTCATTCAGTTAAAATTGATGGCAGAGAGCTTAAGCACAGGGTGGCACAGTCCTGCAGTGTCTAACATTGCTGCCTCACAGCACTGTGAACCTGATTCTCGAGTGCTCCGGTTGCCTTGTACAGTCCAAAGACATTCTAGCAGGTAGTTGGCTTCTGGGAAAATTGGCCCTGATGTGAGTGTGTGTGTCTGTGTGTCCCTGCAATGGACTGGTGTAGCCTGTCTTGAGCCTGTTGCTTGCTGGGATAGGCTCCATTTCCCCTACAACCCTGAATTGGATGACGTGGTTTGAAAATGTATGGGTGGATGGAGCACCAGCGCCTACAGCCCTGGCTTTCAGGAAAAAGTGTAGATGAGTTAATGGATTGTTACAATTATTTTTCTGTTCTGATCTGTGAAATGACTGGGGCTACAGATGTAATAGTGATAATAAAGCTGCCAAAGCTCTACAAAGATCTATGGCCTAGCATGTTTCTGGCAACAGGGTTACTTGGGACAAGCTTTCACTTATTGAAAAGTCATTTTCCAAGTTGTTTCTACCATTAGACCACAAGCAGAAATCGATTGCCAGACTTCTGGCTCATTTGAACTGCAATAACTGTTTTGTCTCAGGAGGTTGCGAGATGTTATTTAAAGAATGCAGTGTAAAGAGAAGTTACAGTGTTTTTAAGACCACCATTGGATTTCTTTCTGTTGTGATTCTTTTTCCGTAGGAGGGGCTTCAAGCATTTTATTAAGTTCACAGGAAACATATGACCAGCAATCAATTACTTTGTGAAACCTTCATTTGTCCTTTCAAAGCAGTTTTTTTCATTTATGGTAACGACATGGTTAAGGATCACTGGAAGGCAAAGCAAAATATAATTCCAAGCCTCAAACGTAAAACATGTTAAAAGCCTACATGAAGCAGCATAGCATTATACATTTTCAATACTCATTACTATCACCACTTCAGGCATCCCACATTCGTCTAGAGGTCGCTGAGCTGCTCTCAATGAGTGTACAAGAAGGATAAAAAGGCAGAAATATACATCGTAACAATACATTTAACTAACTATGAAATAATTACACAAGATAAAGAATGATAACACACTGATGTGTTGGCTATCTAAAATTTCTTTCTGATGACATCTAAGTTAATGAATTCATATTAAATAAATTATAGGCTGCATTAGTTAAATGTCATTGGACCAACAAAGCACATTGCAGTCTTGTGTACTGTAGTTTCTGAGTTCGGTACATTATATGACTGTTCTTTTATTGTGTATCTGTGGTATCCCTTTTAAGGCCTCAAGAAATTTGATCAACTTCCCTTTCACAAATATCTCTAAAGCAATTTCAACCTTTCAAAATGTATATATTTGCCGTCTACAAAATATATTTTTACACTAAAACATTATGCTGTACATTGTTGTTAGTGCACCAGCAGGAAGTGATCCTTCTAGTTTATAAAAAACAACCTTCTCTTGGTCTGATAGCATGAGCTTGAATTACTTATTTTGCCAGATGTGCAGCATGAGATTTCTGTTGCAAATGAGGCCTCTTATTCAACATGCATCTTTTCTTTCAGTTTATGGAAGTTGTTGTATTTGCCACTTCATTTTCTTAATAAATATAATTTATAAATGTTACGTTTCTTTAACTTTCATTCTAGTTTGTACATGGCATATATTGCTGCTTCTTCTCTGTATTATTATATTCATAACAGTCACTTGCATGTGTGACCAGCTGTACGAGTCAATTTAATCTACTAATACACTCGTTCAGTTTGTAGTCTGCTATAAAATTCTTCAGTTAAAAAAAAATTAATTAAATGTATTTTAATGCATACAATATATGGTAGAGTATATGTAAAAAATTGCTCTGGTTGTTTTTCATTTTTATTTCAAAACCAACCAGCTGGCATTGATTATCCCTCCATTTTTCAACAGCTTTATCCAATCTGAAGGGCACACAATGACCCAACACACACACCAGGGCCAATTTTCCCAGAAGCCAGTTAATCCACCAGTATGTCTTTGGCCTGTGGGTGGGAAAATTGAGCACCCAGAGAAAACCCATGTGAACACAGGGAGAACACAAAAACCACACACAACACCACAAAAAAAAAAAACAGGACACCCACACCTGTGCACACAGAGAAAAACGATACACACCGCCACAACAACACACCCACAGGGGATAACAAAATGTTAATCCACTATTCAACTAACAGGTGCATAACAGTGCAGAGCTCCTATGGCAGGTTCTGTAAGTAGCTCACACCTGTTACCATTTTAATGAACTGAATGTGCTAACACGCCATAAGCAAATGATCACGAGTCTGTTGTTGAACTACAGTACTTTGTTTTTTTTAATTCATTCAGCTTTATGTATTAATTTATCTAAATCAAGTCACTTTATTTAACTTTCTGTTTTTAATAGGTTACAGGAGGACGTAACTGTAGTGCTATCGGTTTCACATGGGTATGCGCCCTTGGCGCTACCACCTCAGGTTGGCCCCCCACCGCTGGGGACTCGAACCCGGGCCTCCAGCATCACTCAACAGGGACCCAGCCAGTTGAGCTAAAGGGAAATCTCCCGTTAGCCTGACGGTTGTGGTCTCTGCTATTGACAGGGAAGGGCTGGTAAGGCGGCTCGCACAACCTGTAATGTCAGCCGTATGCGTTACGATACACTAATATACTGTATTATAGTACTATAAGGGGTAAAAGTTCTATTAGAGTACAATTGATGTAGATTATAAATTGTTAAAGCTGTCCATTCAGTCAGAGCATCCACTTTGTAATTTACATTAATCCTATTATGCCTTTTTTGCATAAATGTATTTGCCATGCTCAGATTCTGATGGTGGAGGTAGGTGATTGTGATACTGCTACTCTGTACTGTGAAAGTAACCCCACCTCAGGATAACCGAAAGGCAAACTTTCAAACAAACATGCTCCACACACAATAAGGTTAGTATTTTAGTCTTTAACTTTTTCAAGCAAATAAGCTGCCAATGCTAAGAATTGCTAAGAAACGTCTTGTGAAGATGTTTCTCCTGTGAGTCTTAGCATACTGACTGTGTGTCAGTATTTTGCAAGACTGGTGGTTTATTATGGCACTGAACTCTGAAGACAAATGAGGCCTTGAAACCTGGCTGGAGGTCATGTAGGCTGATTGGACTCATTTATCATTTCATTACCAGCAATTGCTCTGGCTGCCTGCTGCAAAGGCTATACACCTCTCCACAATGATTACTCCTTTCCTCAGTCGAGTAAGATATGCTTCTCACACTTACAATGCATTGTAAGAGTCTGATTGGAAATATTAACGTGACCTGTGAGGTTATTGTAAAGCAAGTGGATCAGGCTATCATTATGTGCAGTTGTAAGGCTGTTTTATGGGTTCTGGAAGTATTCATGTTTTAATGAAAGTATTCTTCCACAGGAAGTACAGAACTGATTGCATCTGAAAAACTTAAGTCACACAGCTTGCCTACGATCTGAAGAATAGAAAGGTTAATTAGGAAATCACAAAATTACTGTGTAACACAAATGTGACTCTAGAATTAAAATCACTGACAACAGTGCCGTGGTGACTGGTTTATTTATTAAATATATTCACCTGAGCATTTATCTCTTGGTACTATATATTAGCCCCACCCAAGTTCAGCATACCTTTGGCAAATAGTTCAGCTCCGTGGACAAAACACACATTCATTCAACGTTTCTCATTTAGTTCCTCAAGTCTCTTTGGCTACTCATGTATTTGTAAACATAAAGCAATCTGAACACATTTGTAATGATGAAAATATTTCCTTTTAATAAAATGCAAATCTAATGCCTGTGACACAGAAAAATACAGCGGTTCATGTTTTTGGGGAGTGGTGTGGTGGATAGATGAAGCGGTTCTACAAAAAATGTGCAAAATGGCATACTTATGGATAAACAAATGAACATATGCAAAAAGCTTTCAAGAATTTTATTTAAATATCTTTTTTTCCCTTAATTCTCAATATGTCTCTTCTCTGCAAAAAAATTTTAACTGACTTTTAAAGTACTGTACCTTCATGTTTTTTGGTCTTGGTTTGCTTCAAGAAGCAGGATCTTCATTCTGACAAAAAAGATTAAAGGAAATTAAACTAGAGGCTTAGGTTTAGGTAATCATTTCACTGATTAAGGTACAGTATTTTTGCCTTTAAAAAATGCCATTCGTGGTTTACAAAGATGCCAAGTCCCACCCAAGTTTTTTTTAAAAAGGCATGTGGAATGCCCTTAACAAACATAAAAGAGGTAATCCACAACGTTTCAGGTCACAGAACGCTG